TTTCGGTTTCTGTGGAAGGCATGTAAATTTAAGATGACAAGAGCTACCAGGTGCAGCTGGGCTGTGTGGGATGTAGCAGGTAACGATCCGGCTTCTGTTTAGGAACCCTGGCAGTCTCCTCTTTCCATTCACAGTTCAGTGGTGCTGCCAGTTTGTGCACCATTTACAGAAGAGACCAGAAATGAAACTGCAAGCGTTTTTTGACCCCAGGAAAATGATATTCACAATTTTGGGGGGAGGGGAGAATGGGACTCCGGGTGAATGTTTTAGAGTGATCAGGTATAATGTTTTGTCTCAGCAGTTGTTAAATAAACATTTGTTGATGGATAGAGACTGCTCTCATTTGCCTTTCAGCAGATCCTTTCTCCCCACTTTTGTTCACCTTCCTGTGAGGGTATAACAGTCTCTCTCTCTCTCTCTTATTTCCAAATTTCACTTGTTTTAATAACTATGTATGAGTGTCTATGTTTATCCATTACCAAGCTTATATTGCATTTGCTGTGCTACATTTTTTTGTGTGTGTGCATCCATTTCTTCTATGGGGCATTGGGACTTGGGGAAGTTCAAGTAAAAATACATAATCGTTAATCTTGTTGCCTGCTTAAAATGGAAGGATGTGCTGGAAATAGTGACCCAGTTCACATCATCATGAAGGCTTTTGTGCGTGACGATCTCCTTTTATTTCACTTTTTATGCTATTATAGTACGTTCTTGGATCTAGTAGAAGAAGCTGATGAACTGAATGGGATTGCTGTCAATTCCCCTCCTCCCCAGTCAATGTCCGAGTTATGTTTTGAGAGTTGAATCCTCAGACACTTCAATTTGTGAAATCTAGATGATTCAACACACTGTTTCTTCTCTGTGTTTGTTTTCAATGTGCAATGGCCAAAATTACTACTTTGTAGATAGGTTTAGGGGATAAGGGAAGGAACCATCATTATTGTGACTGTTAGTGCCTTGATGATGTGCCCCGACCATGCCACCCACCCTGGAGTGTGTAACTCATTGCTCTTGATAAACCTCAAGGACTTGTCAGGCTTGAGCTGCTCTTTCATGATGCTGTGAAATAGACACCTCCACAATCCAATGAAGAAGTAACATACAGATTTAAACCTATCTCCCAATTAATTGGAGAGTTTAATAAGAAACCTGGTAACAGTAAATAACCTTGTACCTCCTCAACAGAGAGATGGAGATCTTCCACCTTCAAAGAAAAAACGCCAGGCAGGGGAGAAGATCATGTACACTCTGGTCTCAGTCCCACATGGAAATGACATTGCGTCCCTTTTTGAACTGGATGCCACAACTCTTCAGAGAGCTGACTGCCTGGTTCCAAGGTAAACAAACAAACAAACAAACAAAAAAACAAAAAAGAAAGAAAGAAAGAAAAGAAAAGGAAATTACGGTTAGAAAATGCTTCTTTGGATAATTTTACCAATAAGGCATGAAAATTATAATGTTAATATAATTTTTGCAATATCAACAGAACAAGTGTACATGAAGAAAAAGTGTGTAAAACACTGTGCTTCTTTTGTGAGTAGACTAACATAGTTTATTTTATTCTTATAAGTAATTACAATGTGCAGGACCAAAGAAGTTTTGAAAAATGTGTAAGAATCATTTATTCTTATTACTTGTATGGCCTTTGGTTACTTAAAAACTAAAATCATTTCTATTAGTACTTTTATGATTTATTTTTATTATTCAGATTCCCCATTTCATTCATTCACCCATTTGTTCATTTATTTAGTCATTCAGTCAACAAATATTTATTGAACATCCATTACATTCTAGGCATTGCCCTTGGTGTTAAGAAGGCAGCAGTGAGCACACTGGTTACATAGTTACATTCAAATGGGGGAGACAGACAGTAAACAAATGAATAAACAGAACATATAAGTTCAGGTATTGAAAAGGCTGTGAAGAAAAATTGCGCGGTATGGAGAGTTCTGCAAAAGTAAGAGTGTCCAGGGCTGGCCTCGTAAGAGTGTCCAGAGGTGGCCTCTCTGAGTGAGGACGTTTGAGAAAAGATCTGAACAAATTGAGGAGTCAATCAATGGAACTGAGGATTCTCTATCAGAGAGGAGACTTTCAAGTAGCAGGAACAGGAAATAGAAAAATCTTGAAATTTATTAGCTATTTTTAAGGACTAGAAAGGAGGACAGTGTAGTAGGACCTAAGTGAGTGAGGGTTAGGGGGATTGGGAATGAGGTATCCAGAACTTATTACAAGAGAATGTCTTACATTCTTTTGTTTGATTATTTTAGTTAAGCTATTTTGCCTTCAACTGCATACCTTATGACAATAGCACTATGATGCATTCCCTAGACTCACCGTGTCTTGCCCATATTGTGAGGTCTAGTGGGATGTTTCTGACTCGGTCTTGATGGAGCAGTGTTGTACCTGGCCTTGGGCAGGTGGAAGTGGTTAGGCAGAAGGTACCTGCACAAAAATGCAGACATTGTTGTTTAAGTTCCTTCCAGGGAAGGTAAAAAGTTGCTGTGCTAACAACTGTCAAGAAACACTGCTGATTGAACGTCACAGGATGTTTCATGGCTATCCTCATTCATGAGAAATGTTGCTGAGTCTTGACCTCATGTGAGTTTATTCCTCCCTCTTCCCTGTTCTACCAATATAGCCTGTACAGCAATGCCATTTGAAGGTTTTACCTGCCCTAGGTCCCTGACCTTCTCTTCCCAGTATTGGGATTTTAATCAATCCTTACTATGACTTTACTCATTTTGTCAGCCAAAATGGAGTTCTTCTTGAACTCTAACCAAGAGACTTTGCTTAAGGAAATGATAAAAGGGTCTTGCTGTGAAGTGTGTAGATCCGTGACAAGGTCCCTGAGCCTAGCCTTATATGGAGGTGTTAATCCATTACCTTTCAGAAATGTTGAACTTCTAAGGATAGTACAGAACTTTATATTAACATGGGTTCATTCACAGTTTGTTAGTTGTGTTAAAGTTAACATTAATTAACACTTAGTAATAAGTATTATTATAACTCTGAGAACTTTCTATGTGCTAAGCCCTGTGTCAAGATCTTTATAAATATTATTTTATTCAATCCTGGCAGTTACCCGTGCAGATGAGGAACTATGGGCTAAGTTAGAACAGTGCTTCTCAAGTTGGCTGTAAATTAGAATCACCTGGGCAACATTGCTACTGCTCCATGCCCTGGCTACACTGAGACCAGTGAAATCAGTCTTCTGAGTGGGACGCAGGCTATACTTTTTTAAAAAGCATTGCACAAGTGATTCTAATGCGGAGTCCACTGTTTCTCAAACTTTAAACTCTGTAGTCTATTGCTTCTTAAACTCTATTGGGTAGTAAATCACCTGCGGATCTGATAAAAATGCAGCTTCTGATTCACCTGGTCTGTGGAGGGGGCCCGAGAATCTGCATTTCTAACATGCCTGCAGACAATGCTGTTTGTGGATTAGACTTAAAGTACCAAGGGCTTAGAGCAGTAGTTCCCATCCTTTGCTGCATGTTGGAATACCTGGGAATCTTTAAAAAGTACTGATGCCTTGCTCCCACTTTCAGACATTCTGATTTAATTGGTATGTAGTGCACCCTGGGCAGTGGGATTGTAAAAGCTTCCCAGATGATGTGCAGCAAAGTTTGTGAACCACTGGCTTAGAGTGACAAGCTAATTGGCCTGTGTCATGCTCATGAAGTGGAATTTGATCCTGGAGTGCATACATTTAAAGTCTGTCTTCTTTAACCACTATGCTGCA